AGATTGTATAGTGTATGGCCACCTTTATTTGCATTAATTGCTCATATCGATACCTGTGTGGACAGCTTAACGGGGACACAGACAACTTGATGAGCCTCAGTGGTGCCTTATAGAGCAGCAATACAAGGACGGGGGTGAAGAGCAAGTCGGTCCTTTGATTTTAAGCTGTGTATGTAGGCTTCTCTGAGCTTTAGAAGAAAAGATACATTCTTCATCAAAGCAGTTAAGATTAGCCTGGTAAACATGGAAAGGAGCCTGGAGCTCCTCCTGATGGCAGAAAGAAATCTGAAATATTTAACATATTTGCTGTTGTGAGATTAAAGATTTTTCCCTGTTCTTAAATAAACAAAATACTAAAATATATGCAGAGCCACCTCATATCATGGTTTTCAGTGGTATTCCTATAAAAAAAAAAAAGCAGTTTGGTTGTAAAAGAAAAAAAAAAAACAGGTATTCAGGTGGTGGCAGTGTCACCTTCTGAAAGGCTGTAAGCTGCACCTGTATCACACTATGAAAAGTGATCCTCTCAGATCGTTTTTCAGCGAGCAAGACGGGCTTAAATTAAGCCTAAATGTTAGTTTGCCAGTTTTATTGGTAAATAACAGTAAAAAAATACAAAACTTGCACTAAAATCAAAACCCGTCACCTATGAAAGGCTTTAAAATTGATGTTCTGTGCTGTTTGTTGATGAAAGTGCAGAGGCCGTACTGGATTAGAAACAACTTGTCCGGAGTCCCGCTTTATTGTTTCATTTCTTTATTCTTCTGCAGATAGACATTTTCCACTGTTATTGTGCATGCATGGCTTATTGCAGGGGTGGGCAACTGTGGCCCTCCAGCTGTTGGTGACCTACAAGTCCCATCATGCCTCTGCCTTTGGGAGTCATGCTTGTGACTGTCAGTTTTGCAATGCTTCATGGGACTTGTAGTTCTACAACAGCTGGAGGGCCACAGTTGCCCACCTCTGGCTGATTGGATTTTTCAGTGGCTGTCATACACAATATTATCCATTAGATGGCACCCTTGTACAAAAACGAAATGGCTTCGAAGTCCCTGTCCTATGAAAAGTATGGGGATGGGGACTACTGGTATCCGTCTGATAAATGCTAGTTGCTTGGCTGTGTCTGGCTATACTACTTTGACGCATGCTGTAAATGAGCGTAAGAACAATTTTAGAATTCCTTATCTCAGCACTGAAACTTTAGCATCGACTTGAGAGCCAGAGAACTGAGATGGAGAGGTCAGCAATGGCAGTCTCCATTCATCTCTAATGGCGTACAGTAAAGTGAAACATAAATGTAGAGAGGAGAGAAAACGATTGCAACACAATAACTTTAGTTTAAAGCTGAACATGTGATTCCATCATTGAAAGAACTGAAATTCAATGAATGAAAGGGTGGGTCAAGGACAGTCAGGCTGGCGAGGGAAGGGCTAGATGATGCTGGATGTAATCCTGCCAAGAAATAAGGCAAGATCTATCTGACTTGCTGCAGCTTCTAATGCACACTACGAGACGCTCACAGTGTGCAGTATAATTAGAATAAGCCATACAGGAGAGGAGCCTGTACAACTGTGCAAGACTGAAGGGAGGGCTGGGTCTCTGATGTACAGGGGGGGCCTCTGGAGTGATGTAAGCCTCTGATGTATAGGGGTAACTCTGATGTGATGGGAGGTTCCATGTATAAGGGCCTTGTGATGTATTAGGGGTCTTCTGATGTACGGGGGGGGCCTCTGGAGTTATGGAAGCCTCTGACGTGATGGGACGGCCTCTGATGTATAGGGTTGACTCTGATGTGATGAAAGCCTCTGATGTATAGGGTTGACTCTGATGTGATGGGAGGCTCTCATGTACAGGTGGTCCTGTGATGTATAAGGGGTCCTCTGATGTATAGGGGGCCTCTGATGTGATGAAGCCTCTGACATGTGGGGTGGCCTCTGATGTATAGGGATGACTATGATGTGATGGAAGCCTCTGATGTATAGGGGTGACTCTGATGTGATGGGAGGCTCTCATGTATAGGTAGTCCTGTGATGTATAAGGGGTCCTCTGATGTATAGGGGGCCTCTGATGTGATGAAGCCTCTGACATGTGGGGTGGCCTCTGATGTATAGGATTGACTCTGATATGGGTGATTATAAATCTACATTTTTTTTTTTTTTTTTTTTTAATAAAAATATTTCATGTTCACCTGCTCTGTGCAGCCTCCATCCTTCTCAGGTCTCCTGCTGGTGCTTCTAGCTCTTCATCCCTGCCGAGTGATCACTGGCTAGGACCCGGTGATTGACGGCCGCGAATGGCATAGCGGTGCGCATGCCCACTACTCGGAAATGCAAAGTCACATATATATATATACATGATTTTGCGCAGCCGTGCCGCCCTGTAGCAGTATATCTGCTGTAGGGCGGTCGGGAAGCGGTTAAACACGTGTGTGTGTGTGTGTGTACTGCATCAACCCATAATATTACTTTTATTACACACTCTTCTAGTAAGATGTGCACTTCTACAGTAATATATTTTGCACCCTAGTAGTATTGCATGCAGCACCCCCATTATAATGTATGCACCCACTTTAACATATATACAGTATATATATATATATATGCATGTCTCCCCTAAAACAATATATGTAAACCCCCATTATTCTGACTCAGATTGTTGTGATAGCAATTTATCCCTTGTGAGACCTCTATGCCTAGCCTGTATAAGCGGATATAATCACTGTGGGCAATCCTTATCAGATAGCTTGAACTCACCAATACTGTGTTCATCCAGAAGTTGCTTTATTCTGTACATGTGACAACAGGATACAGCAGAATGAATGGTTTCCAGTATTATGCGGTCAAAAGATGATACTTTCCGTAGCGTACTATGCAGAATACATGTGTCCCTGTTACATGTGGTCTGTTAGCTGCCTCCATGACACAGGAAGTGCTGAACTCAAGAAGAAGGGAGGAGCTTCATATGCAAAGGAACTGTGTCATAGATCTCAGGGAGGCAATATGAAAAACAAATGCATTACCAAATAAGGCCACTGGTGGCGGCATATAACTAACTATAGAAATATCCATAGGAAATGGTACAAAGAATAAACTATATGAATTCTCTGTGGTATAACTGATAGATAATATTAGTGTAGGACCCTGGTGCCCAACCTGTAGCCCGAGGGCCCCTTTGGTATATGATGTGCCGCCCTCAGGCTTAAGCAGTCTTTATTGGGAACATTGATTAGGGTAATGGCATTGATCTCTACTAGCTTTATGTAACATTTTTTCAGTTTGGTATTGTCTTCTGCAGCATGTGTCCAGCCAAAAATGTACCATTTCAACAATCTTTGACCCTCATTTCCTTAGGTCTGCAGTTTTTGATATTCCTCTGAAGCATTACATATATTGAACATTATGTACGGGCCCTTTGGTGATGTCAGGGGCCACATTGGAGGCCCCCTTTAGCCTATAAGTTGACAACCACTGGTGTAGGGTATTCAAAAGGCCACTGAGGTTCATTACACTTTGGTCAATGTGTAATCCTATAAACAAATATTATCAGTAGCTACTAAACCAGAGGTTGGCAATTTCTGAGATAAAGGGGTCCTTATCTGTGACTTCTCCAATTATTAAGGGTCCATTCACAAGGGACACTTGACTGCATGCCCAGTGCAGGTCTGTTTTTTCCCAGGCACAGAGATGCACAGGAGTTGCTTGCAACCCTTGGCCGGCAGTCCATAGAAGTCTATTGGGACACACGGCTGCATGGACAGTGCTGCTGCATGTTCCTGCATTGGGCACACAGTCAAGCACCCTGATTGAATGGACCCTAAAAAAACACACATATTATTCTATAAATGAAATGCTGGAGAGAACTGTCAGTACAGCAGACACACTAGTTAGAATGATGGTCACAGACTACAGACATGCTATAAAAGTCCATAAAGCCTGGGGCAAGTTAGAGTATCTAGAAGAGATTGCTACCATTACCTCTTTAAAAATCAATGCTGTCAGTCCCATTATAGACTGTTGAGGACCAAGGGCCACACAAATACCAAAAGACTGTATGTAGCCACAGGTTGGGCACCAGGGCAATAAACATATGATAATATAGATCAGTAGTCTACACAACAAAATGAAATTCATTGTTACCTTTCTTTTTTTTAACAGCAATACAAACTTTTATATATTTTGATCAAATTAATATTAGAAACTATTTTACATGTTACCTTCGATGTTCACTTTTTATACTGTTATCAGATTTATTTATCCGATAAAGAATTTCTTGAAAACATTTGCAACATGGAATTGATAATCAGAACATTTTATTAGAACTGGAATATGAATTGTATGCATTTCCAAAATTAAAAAAGGTACATTAAGTAAAATGTTAGCTTCCTGGAATTTAAAAGATGATTTTAATAAAGTAAATGGTTATGAAAAGCTGAGTTCTATTTCATTAAGTGCTTTATGTCACATGACCGAAATGCAGCTGCAAACTTAGTCCTTCATCTGGGGATGTTAGCTGTGGCAAACTTACCCAAGTGCCTGGGATACACCGACTTTAAATAAAAGCAGAGGCAAAGGGTAGTTGCTTCCTTTTACCATTGTAGTTTTTCCTTTTTCCTTTTACCATTTGCTTCCTTTTACCATTAGGAGGTCTTTATAACTTGTCTAAGGATGGCAATTTTGAAAGTTGCAGGAAGATGGGTAGTTCTGGTCATCTGTTTTAAACGGGTGTCATCAGGACTGAAGAGGAAGCATCCTTTGGGGTCCTTATCCAAGCCATTATCCTTAATCACTATATGTGTCCAAACTGGAACTATTTCAACTAATATTTGTCCAAATAAAGATGGCGAAAGAAGAATCTGTAGACCTGGAATGACCATAACAGTGACTGAAAGCCAAATCTCTCCAGTGGGGTTTTTGTATAATGTGATACACAGACATAGTGCAGAGCTATTGAAGGTGCTTCAGAATTGTTTGGAGAACATGGGTGACGATGTCTTGTTCATCTCAGTATGGCTTTTTTTTCTTGAACTCTTTCACAAAGTTGGTGAGGATCTCCAGACCCTCCACAAGCCCATCACCAGTTGTGGCACAGCATCCTTGGATATGCCATTGGTGTCCTTTTACGCTTCTCAGCTCCAACTCCTCCACCAGTTCACCTGGTTTCCTGGCACCAAAAACATCCTGCTTATTAGCCAGAACTAAGAAGGGTACTCCTTTCATTTCATTAGCTTCCAAGATGGATTCTAGTTCTGACCGGGCCTCTTTGAAGCGCTCAGGGTCAGCGCTATCCACCACAAAAACAAGGCCATCTGTGTTTTGAAAATAATGCTTCCACAGCATTCTAATCCTGTCCTGACCTCCTACATCCCAAACAGTGAAGGTCACATTACGAATGGGTTGAACAGTCTCAACATTGAACCCAATAGTGGGGATTGTACACACTGCCTCATTCAACTTCAGCTTGTATAGAATTGTGGTCTTTCCAGCAGCGTCCAGACCCAGCATTATGATCCGAGCATTGGTGCCAGAGAAGTTCATTATTGCTTGGTGAAGGCTGCTTAGGAGGATACCCATTGCTGCAATTTTTCTTCCCAAATTCAGTAATGATTTGCTTTATATTATCTCTGTGGCAGTACATGCTTTTGAAAACTACACCGCTATATATATTCACAGTACTTTCATTTGCCAAACCTCCTGTAACTTAGCAACCAGAGAAACACAGAAATAATTTCCTGGTTGCACCGTCACACAGTGTTGTGTTGGAAGATTCTTGTACAACCTTTTTTGACAATGCCAGGAATGAGTGCAACACAGGAAGTGACTTCAGGATCAAAACAAAAACAACTTTATTGAAATAAATATATTCTCGCAATTGTTCTACCTGAATTAGACACATTTTGGATGTGGTAACACAAGACCCCTGAGATACTTCATAAGAATTTAAGAGTCAAAGTGTAAGTAAAGCCAAAAACAAAATAAAATTCATGATTCAACTTTCAATTCTCAATTGTTTAATCCTGTTTTTTTTATAATTCTGTGTACATTTATTCCCTATAAATACCTTAGAATCATTCTAGGGATCCCGGTCTGCAATAATTTATTTTATGCCTGTGTATGAATACATTTCTCAGTCTCGCTATGTAACTATGCACTGAGAGTAGAGAGTGTATGTGATGATGAGCAATAAGTATTAGTAATAGAAACACATCCCCGGCATCCAGTGTAGACTGCCTTGGTGGCCACTGAATGATGCAGACTTTAGGTGTGCTGTGCTAATCAGATTTTTTTTTTTACTATTCCAGAAGCAAATCTGAAAATATAATCATGGAACTGCATAGATAAAGTCTACACCATGCAGAGGTCAGCTCCCTCTCTGGAACTAGCACATCTAAAGGGTTCCTGGGAAAGCGTTCTTTTGCTTTTGCAATCAGCAGGAAGTTGCTGTTTCACCAACTCTGCTGGCTTTGCTTTTATGAAAAGCTAAAAATATCAGAAAACCAGTGGCTGTAGCTAGGTGGATGGACTGAGAATATACTTAAATTTTCAGAATAAAAAATATGTCAAGAATACCAATACAATAGTAATCGCTGGATGTCTCCACAGGGTGGGACTGTGGACATCTATTAACATTCAGTGATGCCTCATCCGAATATCAAATATAAGAACACAGCAGGGGCGGACTGACCATTCGAGCACTCGGGCACTGCCCATGAAATGCCCCTGGTACCTTTTTTATAGGCATTTTTGAGTGTGGGCAAGGACACAGGGGCCCCATGATCCCCTATTGCCCAGGGGCCCCATGAGTTTTTAGTCCACCCCTGGAACACAGCATTTTGAGTCAATTATTAATGCTCTGTATTAACCACTTGCCCTCCAGAGGATTTACCCCCCTTCCTGACTAGGCCATTTTTTGCAATACAGCCCTGCGGTACTTTAACTGACAATTGTGCAGTCATGCAACGCTGCACCCAAATGAAATGTATGTCCTCTTTTCCTACAAATAGAGCTTTCTTTTGGTGGTATTTGATCATCTCTGTGCTTTTTATTTTTTGTGCTATAAACAAAAAAAGACTGACAATTGAAAAAAAATATATTTTTGACTTTTTGCTATTAAACATGTACAATAAAAAAATTTAAAAAATCTAATCTTGGCATAAATTTGGGCCAAAATGTATTCTGCTACATGTCTTTGTTAAAACAAATCCCACTATGTGTAAATTAATTGGTTTACGTGAAAGTTATAGCGTCTACAAATGGTGGAATGTACAGGTATACTGGATTTTTTTTTTTTTTACTAGTAATGGCGGCAATTAGCAACTTATTGCGGGACTGCAGGACTGCGACGGGCATTCTAGCACTGTGGGGGAATTGTGGGGGAATTGACTAACTGCCACTGACATCCCAGTGACACCAATATAGTGATCAGCCAGTGCTGATAATTCAAAAGGTTAGATGACAGGTTTGGTGCAGTATCACACTTTTGCTAGGTAAAAATGAACCTATGCCCAGACTATGCATACTGAAACTGTAACAGCCCTATAAAAGAAGCCTTCAGTCACCTCTGTAGCGATAGACATTGTGCAGATATTCATCTTCACATTTCACAACACTGAAATCACTACTTTCCCCTTTCAATAGGAATCAAATTCTTGATAGCCTGTCAGCTTGTGAACAGTGGTGTATGTGTGTATACAGTAGGTAGTACTGCTTTCCTATGCATAAAAGAGGTGGTGGTGAAATTATGGTGAAATATGGTGTTCTGTGTGCTGGACTATATATACTTCTGACCCCTGCACTCTGGACGTAGGCTCCAATTCTAAGCCTCTCCCACTGTTTGCACAATTATGCTGCACCCACAAGTTGCTGCAGTGCATTTTTTTCCTCTGGATGGCAAGAAAGAAGGGAAGGTAGAAGGTAGTGTCAGGTAGGCTATACAGGACCACCAATACAATCATGGAGCCCTGTACAGCAATTAATCTGCAATAAAGTTTGCTTTGAATGTATATGAATGTAAAGTTTGAATGTATATGAGAGAGGGGGCTGTTTTTTTCTGGAAAAAAATGGGGTTTCCCTATAGGAATGGTCCGACACTGGCACAGGCTCCCATGTTATGGATCCCCTTTTCCCCCCAACAGAATCAGTGACTTAGTTGGTACTCCGTAGGCAGTAGACTCCTGAGATATGATTAGAAGTGAGCTACGCAACAAAAGCTACTGTCCATTGTGGGGCTTTTGTAAGGACTTTTCTTGCGAACAATGGGTAGTGAAAGGATTACAGATACTGAGGGCATCAGGCATGAAGGGCACTTTGTGTCACTACTTACAGCCATTATGGGGTGAGAGTGGAGGGCAACTTTGGCTTTCTTTCCCAATAAATGACTTAAGTTGGGTATACACTAGTGGAATAGAAACATTGGTACGAAAAATTGTTAGGAAAATTTGTATGAAAATTCTCAAAACATTCAAACTGAAAGTAGTTCAACATTTCATTTGCTTTTATCATTCGCTTTTGGAATGAGTGGACTGTACTGAACGAAAACCACATACACTGTTAGAAATCTGTACATGAAAAAATCCATCCTGCTCCTTTGAATTTTCTCATCACTGTGGTCAACAGTAGAAACATATAAAAAGACCAAGTGGTCCATTGAGTCTGCCCCATTTTTTATATTTTATACATTTTTGTATTTTATTTTTTGTTTGTTTTGTTTTTATATTTGTTTTGCCTGAATGTAGGCCTATGTTTGTCCCAAGCATGTAGTATTTAGAAAACCAACAAATGTTCTTACAAAATTCTAGCAGCGAAAAATGTCAAACACACATTTTACTAGTGTATGCCCAACTTGAGCCGTAGTGAAAAAACAAATGTCTGTAAACCCCAACAATGATCTGCTCTTACTTGCTCGCTTTCGGTTTTTGTTAAATATACCATTGAAAATTTTTGTTATTCCATAAGGTAAAAAAATACCTTTTGTTTGTAGAAAAAATCCATTGAGCTTATATCTTACTGTAGCAAACTATCAACGTCCCAAGGAGTCCTATTAGCCCCTTACAGTTCACCATTTGGACTTCAGAATACCCCCATGCTATGGAGATTAGGAGAGATGAAGGGAGGTGTTCTGTAGTTCTAAACCGTTTCTTGCCCTTATGTGAGAACGCTGCTCCTCCATGAATACAGAATAATGAGCGAGAGTTGTCACCCTAGTACAGGTTAACAAACAAGAGCAACGGAAAGCGCACACCTGCCCTAGTGTAACTCCGTTTATTGATATGATAAAGAGAATAAAATAGATGTACTCACATGATGGAGCAGTATAAATAGCACCCCTGGAGGACGTCAGATGACGAAACGTGTAGGGCGGGGCTTTGAGATGACGTCACCACGCACGACAGGTTGAGCTTACGGTAATCGGTGAGATCAGAGACTACCCAATTTAAATCTGCTTGTTTTACTGGTGTCAGAGTGCTATGCACATTTTTGACCAACAAAGTGTTTTAAATGGTTTGACGTAGGACGGGTGTGGGCGTGACTTGATAAAGAACACGTCAATTATGCTTGTTCATGCATCCCACTCCTCTCTTCAGCCATCTGTGTGGCGTGTCTTCCAGGCAACGTGCAGTGCCAGCTGGTCCAGGCGCATGCGCAGTAGTGGCGGTATGCTCTGCTCAGCTGTGGTCTGTATGGAAGAGCTGTCATTTGCTGGGGAACTGTCATCATTCCACAACACATCTTCCACTAGCCATTAGGGAGAAGCTGGGGTGGACCATATATTGTCTGATGTGCTATTTATACTGCTCCATCGTGTGAGTACATTTTATTCTTTTTCTCATGTCAATAAACGGAGTTACACTAGGGCGGGTGTGCGCTCTCTGTTGCTTTTGTTTTTTTTATCTAGATTTCTTCTGCACCCCCGGTGGATCATGTGGAGAGCTATAGCGCCCTATTCTGTATCCTTTGTATTCAGTTTGTTGATCAACACAGTAGTGTTTTTTGTATGGACTATGTTCACCCTAGTACAGGAAGTGCGTTATTTCCAGGATTACTAATGTGAAAAGGGAAAAAAAAAGCCTGATAAAAGAAAATAAATGCAGCCAGCACATCTAAGGACGTCTTGGGTTTAAGTACACTTTTGTTCTGGCAGAAGATATTCCCTAGTAACAAACACCTGACAAAGGATCTAACCCTTCCTACTTTGTTTACAACTTCAAAACAAGCTGGCTCCACCTAAGAGCTCCCCTTAAATTTAAATATGTATATTACCTTTGCTTATTTAATATGTGTATATACAGTAACGTGAAAAAAGTATTTGCCCCTTCCTGATTTTTTAAAATTTTTTGAATATTTGTCACACTTAAATATCAGATCATCAAATTTTAGTATTACACAAGGAAATGTAAATACAAAGTGAGTACAAAATGCAGTTTTCAAATGATGATTTCATTTATTAATGGAAAAAAGCTGGCTAGACCTGCTTGACCCTGTGTGAAAAAGTAACCACAGCAAGATCCATTATCCATAAATGGAGAGAACTTGGAACA